ATTCTGGGCATGTCCCAAGCACCACCAGTGTTGGATGCAGAGATGGCAATCTGCAAGTTCAAGCAACATAGAAATTTAGCTCGACAAGATGTTCTTGTCAAAATAATTACATGAAAGTCCTATCCCTATTCACAATGTATTTGTCTCCTGCCCAACTGAATTAAGAAGTACATATAATCTATATGGAAATCCAGGGAGTAACTTTCTCTAGCATTACCTGCACACCAGAGACAAGAGAACCAGCAAGAACACCAGAAAGAGTTTCAACTCCGAAAAGAATGCCGACAATGAGGGGTGTAAGCATCACCAATGCACCAGGAGGAATCATCTCTTTGATGGATGCATCAGTGGAAATCTTAACACATGTAGCATAGTCAGGCTTGGCAGTTCCTTCCAATAGACCAGGGATGGTGTTGAATTGCCTGCGAACCTCCTCAACCATCTTCAGTGCTGCACTTCCGACGCTCTTCATTGTCATGGCAGAGAACCAGTAAGGAAGCATAGCACCCACAATCAAACCAATGAAAACTTTTGGTGTCAACACATCGACAGTATGGATAGCAGCTCGGCTCACAAAGGCACCAAAGAGCGCAAGAGACACAAGAGCTGCCGAGCCAATGGCAAAACCCTGCATTTAAAAACACATCTATTAGATATGTTTGGTTTCATAATCACATTTCAATATTTACAAGGTACAACATCTAATATTAAGTATATTTGGCCATTTGTCCCGCGATTACATAAAAAATTTATAACATAAAGAAACTGAAAATGAAAATTACATTTCCACTGAATTTTTGCCCAATATTGGATGCGGCAAAAACCATAATTATGAAAGCTGATTAATACTATTTGAACTTCATTATGAATTTACAAGAATGATAGGTAAAAACTAGCATATTGACATGCTACTCAGAACCAACAGAATGCACCCATAAAAAAATAACTGATACCAAGAACCAACCTTTCCAATAGCAGCAGTTGTGTTCCCTGCAGCATCAAGAGCATCAGTTCTCTCTCGGATTCTATGACTCATACCAGCCATCTCAGCAATGCCTCCAGCATTATCACTGATTGGACCATATGCATCAATGGCTAATCCAGTAGCTATGGTGCTAAGCATTCCAAGTGCAGCAACCGCAATACCATACATAGCAGCAAAGGTGAAACTGACAAAGATACTGATTGCAATGGCAAAGATAGGAATAATGACAGACTTGTAACCCAATGCAAGACCAAATATGACGTTTGTAGCAGCTCCAGTTCGGCATGAATCGGCAACATCTTGCACAGGGCTGAAAAACAAAAAGAAAAGTTATATTGACAATTTTCAGGTGAAAATCAGAAGAAATGTGACCATCACTGAAAGTATGTTACCTGTAGGCATTGCTAGTGTAGTATTCTGTTACAAATCCAATAATAAGCCCAGCCCAAAGGCCAACAGCAACACATAAGAAGAGTTGCCTGCATGCAGCAGATTAAATGTATAATAGGTTTCGTTATTGTCCTTTCTATGAAAATCCTTCATAGTTCTTAAGAAAAGTTTCAGCTATTGAGCTCACCAGTTCTTTACAACTTTCTGGGTTCCAAAATTGAAGATGGTGAAGGAAGATGGAAGAGCTATCCAACAAACAATTCCGATTCCAACAGTCATCAGAACAGTAGAGATAATAAGCTGTCTCTTCAAAGATGGCTCGATTTCCTTGACAGCCTTGATCTCAAAGAAATCAGTTGCAAATAAAGTGGTGATCAAGCAAACAATGATTCCCACAGAACTGATAATGAGAGGAAACAGCATTGCAGTTAACTCATGATTGATTCCGAAAGACGATATGGAGGCAACAACAAGGGCAGCACAGGATGATTCAGCATATGAACCAAAAAGATCGGATCCCATACCAGCAATATCCCCAACATTGTCACCGACATTGTCAGCAATCACCTGAAAGGTAACCAGCTTAGTACAAAAACAAGAACAAATGTTTTAATTTTCAACAATACTTTTTAATTAATGTCACTTACAGCTGGATTTCGAGGATCATCCTCTGGAATATTTCTTTCGACCTTCCCAACTAGATCTGCACCAACGTCAGCAGCTTTAGTGTAGATACCTCCACCAACTCTGCCAAACAGAGCCATGGATGATCCTCCAAGGCCATAACCAGTTATAGACTCAAAGAGGCCAGACCAGTCATCACCATAGTACAGTTTGAATAGGTTGATGGCAATGTAAAGTACCAAAAGGCCATTTGCAGCAAGGAGAAAACCCATAACAGCACCAGATCTAAAGGCAGTGATAAAGGCCTTTCCCACACCCTTTCTTGCCTCCAGGGTGGTTCTGGCATTAGCATAGGTTGCAATTTTCATCCCAAGGAATCCAGAAACCACTGAAGTAACAGCACCAAGCAAGAAGGAAATGGTGCTGAAGGCAGCAGTAGCAAGAGCAGGCTTGCACATCTTGCTTTTGTCATAAGTGCAAGGCTGGCTCTTCGTGCTGAATCCTTCAACGGAGCCAAGGAAAACGAAGATCAAGATTGCAAAGGCAACCATGAAGATGCCCACATACTGGTATTCAGTGAAAAGGAATGATGTTGCCCCTGCAACAAACAGAAAATGCAAATTTAGTATACCACAAAGCCTGTCGGTCAAATATTCAGGAGACCAGAATAAATTAAGTTAGTTTCTATTATAATAAAAATATCACTCTAAGTATCACATGAAAACCCCAGGTGGAGACATAGGTGATAAGTATAAAACCAGTAAATTGTACAAACTGACGTAAAACAGTAGTATTGTAGCCAATTGATTATACATCAAGAATATTCCTAGTCAATATGAAGTTTGGGATAGACAGATGAATTAACACAGAAGACGCTCTTTGATATTTATCCGGAAAGATATTTTCTTGGCTTAATATTATGTCTGAGAGCAAACAAGTATTAAGAGTTGAGAATTATTTTCAATTCAAAATTAGATTTGAACATTTGAAACTCGTTTAAGCAACATACAAAGTAGCAGTTATGAGCCATAGAAGAAAGATCAACGATTTAAATAATTGGTCCACCAGAAAGATCCATAAA